TTTTTTTTTTTTTTTTTTTTTTCTATTTCTAACAGTCGAGGACGTTTCTTTGGATTATGTCGGTTTTCTTCCATAATAATAACACTCGTGCGCTAAACAATCAGAATAACTTTCCGAAATTATCATTAAATTTATATCTGAGAATACAAATGCTTTTCAGCTGTGAAATATTTGTAAGAATGTACTTATTTATAATCATATAATATTATATGTAATATTTATAATTATATTATTAATATTTGTAAGATGTATTTGAACTTCTAAATGATATTTATAAATCGTTTTACGACAAACAGGCAGATAGTAAAATTATTTTATCATGTCGATGTAAAAGATAAGCGCCCAGAGTATAGACGTAACTTGTACAATTTTCAAATAATAATTCTCAATCGTTCTGCATGCTAAAAGGTAAAATCGTTATCTTCTAACGCGGAATGAAAAGCAAATGTCCATAAATTGGTATCTTATCAAATCGACCGATTGCTCGCTCTATAAATGAGTCTATCTGAAGTTAAATTCAAGGTTGTCAATGAATAAACGTAACTCTGCACTATCGTAAGCGTAGATTTTTTTTTTTTAACGAAATGTATAAAGAGATCTTTTATTCTTTCTACAGAAGTAAAATTGTATAATTGTTATATCCTTTCCTAAACAATAAAACCAAGTTCTAAAGATTTGTCAATAAACTGTTAAAAATGATAATGCATAATAATAATAATTAAAAATTCACGCGTATTTTCAGTATACATATCACGTTATTCGTAACATTAATTCGTAAGAAAGCCGCGCAGATAGCGCCACCTATGCGCACGAACGAACCCGCGAAAGTAATCTATCCGTTTAAATTCGTACGGAATTGAAAATATTGAAACTCTTTAGCCGATGAAATTAAAGGGCAGGGGATGTTCGCGCTTTTGCGCAGAAATATTGCCAGCCGTTTTATAGAATTTCCACGAGCATGCGCAAGAATGTGGACGTGCACGTGGTAACGCGATATCGCGAAGGATACGCTACGATACACACGGTGCACTCTTTCACGTGGTGGTTCCCCGAGTTTCGAACATTATGCAGAACAATGGTCATCATATACCCTTGTTCCGTGACTTCTTTTACATCTCTAAGTAGTTTTCCCTCGAGTATCGTCGTAATTCCTTTACAATAGCACGATCTACTAGACAGTTTGTGTACCTCCTCCTTGCCTTTGTAGCGCAACACGAAAAGCCACATAAGACGTGGCTTCTTTTTATTTAGAAACGTACGTCTGCCATCCTTCTGATAAACATCGATTGTTCGTAGTTTTATAGAACTGAAATAATTATTTCAATTATCATGAAGGAATAACAAATTGAAGAAGCAATGAAAAACACGCGTAATATTAATTAAAAGCATCCAGCGCAAGTTTCATAATTAAACTCGGAACAATCCGCACTAGAACTGTGAAAAAGACATACACTCTGTATGTCGAACAGTAGCAAGGGAAAGTACAATCGTAATAGATAGCGTTTCACGGGGAAAGATCCAAATGGATTTGTTGATTTTGCACTTGAGCGGTGATATTTCCGTTTGCAGAAAAGATTCGCG